TTTTTGTGGTAGAGATGGGGTTTTTGCACGTTGCACGGGCTGGTCTCAAACTCCTGAGCTCAAGTGACCCACCCACCTTGGCCTCTCAAAGGGCTGACATTACAGACGTGAGCAAGCTCACCCGGCTGGCTCAGACATTTTCATATGTTCAGTTGGGCTTTATATGGAAAAGCTGTTTACTTTCCATCCATTTTCTTATTTTCCTGTTATCCTGGATATATGGTATCTAATTTCACATTAGGCATTTTTTTTTAAACCATGTAACCCAACACAAGCACATTGAATGCTCTGAAGTCTCTGACTTCTGCAGGATGTAGCAAAGTTTGCATTGTTGCTCTGTCCTAACACTTTTTCATTGCTATTATTTTATTATTAAAAATGTTTGCCAAGCTCCCATGCTTGGATCTATTATTGTAAAATATAAGAAATGTTATATTTTAAAATAACATTTTAAAAATGCTTATGAGGCAGTCTTTGGATAAGCTACTAAATTGCCCATCAGTCTTACTATCAAAAGGTGGGGCATGTGACTTGGTCATTACTAATTTATTTTAATAGATTGGTACAATTTTGACATTGAAAGTAATGGCAGTTGGGTGCAGTGGTTCATGCCTGTAATCCCAGCACTTTGGGAGGCCAAGGCGGGCAGATCACCTGAGGTCAGGAGTTCGAGACCAGCCTGGCCAACATGGTGAAACCCTGTCCCTACTAAAAATACAAAAAATTAGCTAGGTGTGGTGGCCCACACCTGTAATCCCAGCTACTTGGGAAACTTGAGGCACGAGAATCACTTGAACCCAGGAGGCGGAGCTTGCAGTGAGCTGAGATTACAACACTGCACTCCAGCCTGGGCAACAGAGTGAGACTCTGTCTCAAAATAAATAAATAAATAAAATAAGTAATGGCCAAAAACTGCAGTTACTTGTGGTCCAAACTAATAATAATTGACTGTAGACATATATTAATATATTGACTTAAATTTTTGGTATTTCTTTATCTTGAGTTTTTATGACTTCCTAAGGATTAAATTTTTAGTACCTCATGATCCGTTATGTGAAATATTTGTGTATATTTTCCCCAAACTGTTCTGATATTGTAGAAAGACCTGGTAATCAAGTAATTTGTTATTCTCTTCTCTCATCTAAAAGTCTTTTGTTTGTCCAACATGTCGCTACTGTTTTCTCTTACCTCATCCAGCCATTTTTAGGAAGACAATGAAAGAACACCTATGCCCTTCTAGAATGGACCTCATGAGAGTGGCAGGCTGTGGCTTCTCCCCTCTCAAGTCCCCTCCTAGCTCACGTCTAACGTTTCTCAGTCCTTTTAGCTGAAGTGGCATATAGGAATAATATATAGTGGGGATTGTTTTACTTAAATCTACTCGTTTTTAGAAAGCATTCCTTATATCCCAGACTAGGAAGACACTAACTTTAAAAGCTTGTAAAGAAGCCCGAATGAGGAGTCAGCAGGCAGACCTGGCCACTGAGAGTCAAGACCATGGCCTTGAACTTGCAGTATCTGCATTTGTCTTCATGGCCGCTTTTCCCTTTCCCACCCAGGCTGTTTGCTGGGTCACATGTTGTGCCTCATTTAGCATAACTCTGGATGAATTTTCTTCTTTTTGAAATTCTCCTATTTTGCTGTTATTTTAAGTTTTCTATTTCTGTGTGTGTGTGTGTGTGTGTGTGTGTGTGTGTGTGTGTGACAGAGTCTTACTCTGTTGCCCAGGCTGGAGTACAATGGCACAATCTCAGCTCACTGCAACCTCCAACGCATGGGTGGGTTCAAGCGATTCTCCTGCCTCAGCCTCCCAAGTAGCTGGAATTATAGGCGTCCACCACAATGCCCGGCTATTTTTTTATTGTTATTTTTTAGAGACGGGGTTTTGCCATGTTGGCCAGGCTGGTCTCAAACTCGGGACCTCAGGTGATCCACCTGCCTCTGCTTCCCAAACTGTGGGATGACAGGGATGAGCCACCGCGCCTGGCCACTAGTTTCCTGTTTCATAATCTTCCTTCTGTTACTGTTAATCATTAGCTCATAGAATCTCATAGTGGAAAGACAACTTAGCAATCACTTGTCTGGCCCAATCCTTTGTATTATTTGAGACTCAGAAAAGGTGAGTGCCTTGTTCCAACGCATTCATCTTTCCAGTGGTGGACCTGGAGTCCCGGCAGAGCTCAGGGCTCTTGCTCACGTGTGGTCTTTTCTGTGGCAGGACGCTTCTCACTGTCCCACTTCTCCCCTTCTCCATAAACTCATTCCATGGGCTCCGTTAGCGGTTCTTTGAGATTCAGGTTTTATCTTAACTCAGGAGTTAGATTTAGGGCCAGAGTTTCTAGCTCTCTGCCTCTGTGCCTTTCATTTCTCAAATATTAAAAGACTTTAGGACTTAGAAATGAAAAATGATCCCCAGAGTCCAGAAAGCACAGAGGGGGTATTCATCTTGCAGTGGTGAGAGGTGAGTGGCATGAAAGTGACTCAGATGTCTTCAGTAGGTAGAATACATGAAATTTAACCTCAGTATTAAAAATAAAAACCGATTTACTGATTTTAAATTCATTAAGGATGAATTTAAATTAAGGATGTACCAGCCATGCATCCTTAATCTCTGATCAGTTCATTGCTTTTCTCCTGTGGTGGTGCTTTCTTTCATGTCCCATGCCTTCATTGAGGAAGCTCCTGGTGCAACTGAGCGCTACTCTCTAGCTGTCGGGACACCGTGTGCTTTATGTGGCATTACTTACTTGGGCTTCCACATCAGTTAACTTCCGCGTTTGCTCTGCTGTTTGGTTCAACAGGCTCGTCCCTATTTCAATCATCACAGCTGTCTGGTTCTGCACTGCATTCTGCTGCATCTCTACCATTTCTTTTTTCATGTTGTCCTGGATATAATTCTCAAGCTAGAAAAGAACAATGTTAGAAGAAAGTCATTAGTCAGATGACCAGAAACCTGATTCCTAAATCTTTGTAATCTCTTCCCTATCAGAAAAAAACGTCTATTAGAAGACCTATTCCTTGTGGAATCTTGCTATTTTATTTTTCATCACTAGCAGGAAAATACAGTGTGATTTTCTTTTTATGCAAAATCTGGCAACTTAGTCACATAATGTAAAGGAAGGAGACAAGCTACTGGTAGCTTCTGTGTTCCTCTAGAAGTCCACGTCGTGGCAGGCCACAGAGGGTGGTGAGGGCAGCCACAGGGACTGCTGGGGGCTGCCGCTGTACCGTTGTGTCTGTCCTACCCAGGTGCAACTCTGATAATGTAGTGCAGGAAATGATAATTTGATAATAAGCATCACTATTTCTCTCACATTGTAGACTTTTGGTTTCTCCACACAGACTTGAGAAGATACTCTAAGACAGCATCTAAGGAAAGGCGCACCTTTTGATTTTCCTCTTTTTTTTTTTTTTTTTGAGATGGAGTCTTTCTCTGTTGCCAGGCTAGACTGCACTGGTGCGATCTCTGCTCACTGCAACCTCCACCTCCCGGGTTTAAGTGATCCTCCTGCCTCAGCCTCCCAAGTAGCTGGGATTACAGGCACACACCACCATGCCCAGCTAATTTTTGTATTTTTAGTAGACAGGATTTCACCTTATTGGCGAGGGTGATCTCGATCTCCTGACCTTGTGATCCACCTGCCTCTGCCTCCCAAAGTGTTGGGATTACAGGCATGAGCCACCACACCCAGCCTGATATTCCTCTTAACCTACAGAATCACCACTTAGTTCCACATTCTGTGGGGCCTTCCCCCACCTTCTTCCTCACTGAGTTCATTCAACCTGTGAAATTTTTCTTAATGTGTATGCATTTTCCACAATTCTCATTTCATGTGTCAGGCAAACTTTTAATCCCACCCTGGTCCATTTATCACCTAACGTGCCATAGGCTGGCTCTTCTTTCCGTCAGTTTCTAAAGATGATCATGCTGACTAATTTTGCATTAGTTTAAACACAAGAGAAAGAAGCAACTCATTTCTCTGCCATTCATACAGATATCCCTGTTCGTGGCAGTAAAATTATATAATGATGTATGACTGCAAGACAGCTTGGTACGTGGGAAGAGCCTGTGGGCTTGGAGCCAGGGAAGCCTGCCCTCTGCTTTATAGCCTTGGTTCTAGGAAAGTCACTTAACCCTTTGGGACCCTAATGTCGTCATATGTAAAATAGGGTTTCTGGTTGGTCAGAGGACTATCTTAAGGAGGAGTTACGCTATGCTTTTAAAGTCATTGTGTGTGTGTGTAACTCCAGCTACTTAACATTTAATTTTTTTCTTCTTTTTTTTTTATATATATAATAGTCTAATGATGGGAACCATTATTGCATTCACTGGTTGAAAGTATAAGCTCATGAATGCAGAAACCATGTTTTCTTCCTGTTCACATAGTGTAACAAACATTTTTTCTTATATCAAATAACTGAAAGATGATTATAAAACTGCTTCTGGTGCCTTTCTTTAAAACCTTGAAATTCTCTATAGAGAAATCATTCGTGGAGTCAGTCATCAGACTGATTTCCCCCAAAGTGTTAACCACTAAGTAATTCTGTGCTTTCTGTCTTTAAGAGTAAGAAAATAGAATGGGAAGGGTAGAGTTTCTCTCTTAGAGCTTCTTTGTTGATGCATTTCATAGATTGTGTCTTGTGACTGGTATCAGATGGTTTTAGGATTAGACTGGAACTATACGTTTACTGTTTCTGAGGCCCCCTCGCCATGACTCTCCCCCACTTCTCTAAGCTCCCAGCTCCTCATCCTGGCAGCTCAGGCTCCCTCCCTGGCAGCTGTGGCTATTGGATGGATCAGAAGAGCAGGTTGTATGACAGGCACAGCCAGCCCTCCATCTGCAGCCTCCACATCTACAGATTCAACCATACCATCAAAATATTTTTTAAAACAACAATACAACAATAAAAAACGAAAATTGTAAAACAGTACAGTATAGCAATTATTTACTCATCATTGACACTGTGTTAGGTATTCTAAGTAACCTCAAGATGATTTAGAGTATGCAGGAGGATGTGCATGGGATACAGGCAGATGCTACCCTGTTTTATAGAAGAGGCTTCAGCATCGTGGATTTTGGTATTCTTAGGGATCTTGGAACCAGTCCCTCACACATATCAAGGGATAGTTGTAGTGGAGCTCCAGTCAGTAAAATCATTTTGTGATCAAGCCATCCGCCTGCCTCAGCCTCCCAAAGTGCTGGGACAACAAGCGTGAGCCATTGCATCTGGCCAAAACCTTTACTTTCCCATACGAATCAAATAGAGTAGACCACTATATATATATATATATATATATATATATATATATATATATATATATATATATATATATAAAAAATCAGGCTCTGTTACCCAGCAGGTCAACAACCATCTCCACTATAGGCTTCATAAAATGTGAAGAATCTAGAATCTTATTAACCCTTTGTCAGAGTTAGCCCAGGCTTTTTAGTGTCTGTGATCTTTCCTAATTCATCCCTTTGGCGTCCTCCCTTTCCTTTGTAAAAACTGTGACTTTTGTGATTGAAATAAACTATTTAGAAGAAGCCATAAATAGCAGTTTGTAATTCTCCCCTTCGCTCATTGCCATGGGAGTAATGGAATTTTTGAGGTTGTAGCTAAAGCTCTGTGTCACCCAGAGGCACTGTCTTGCTTTCTCCTCACACCAGCCAAGATAATATTTAAAAAGATTCATTCTGGGAGGCTTGGAACTACAGCGATAGACTCCAGCTGGAGTTGAGTTTAAACCCCTACTCAGAAACAATAATTACAAAGTGGTATAAATAAAAAGTCTTAACCTTCCTCTTGATTTCAGTACTTAAGAGCTAAGTAAAAGTCACTGTCTTTTGCCACTCTCAATCATATAATCGGAGAGGGAAAATGAATCCTGTAATACTGCCTTCCCACATTTTTAGAGCTACTGAGTCAGATGTGGTTGCAGCTCCCCAGAGATACGAAAGGATTGTTTATAATTGAAAACTTAAAGTCAAATTCCAATTTAAAGTTAAACTTAGGAACTTTGACAGACATACAGGCCCAATGTTTAAAAATGAAATTTCTTAACTTGCCATATTGTTTTCTAAACTTAAAAACAATAGAATCCAAGATCCTTTTTAACTTGCTACTTTTTTGCTTTTCAGGATGACAAATAGGTACACCGTGGGTGAGATACTGTGTGTCCCAGTGTGTTATTCTTACATAAAAACAAATTACATGCAATATGTGGATATACAGATATGTCTATGGCATATCTGTATATAGTGTCTATACACAATATATAAAACTCTTGAAGACATGTATCATTTAAATAAAAGAAAATTATGTATGATACTGACTGCATTGCTAATTAATTGAAGTATTTGGGAGAAGAATGGAACAGAAACAAAAGTGTCCAGTAGTAGATATTTTGTGTTGATTTAAAAAGATTTTGGGGCCACGCATGATGGCTCATTACTGTAATTCCTGTACTTTGGGAGGCGGAGACGAGAGAATCACTTGAGCTCAGGAGTCTAAGACCAGCCTTAGTAACATGGCGAAACCCCATGTCTACAAAACATACAAAAAAAAAAAGAAAATTAGCTGAGCATGGTGGCACATGCCTGTAGTCTCAGCTACCAGGGAGGCTGAGGTGAAAGACTGCTTGAGCCCCGGAGATCAAGGCTGCAGTGAGCCATGATGGTGCCACTGCACTGCAGCCTGGGCGACAGAGTGAGACTTTGTCTCAAAAAGTATATATAAATTAAAAAAAAAGATTTGTGTTCTTACTCTTGAAGTCATGAAATTAAGGTTTTAAGAGAAATGGATGATGTGACAGGTCAAGAAAGAATACGGTATGTTTAGCCCCAGATACACTAGCAACAGGGGCAGCCGCAGTGGTGGTGAGTGGTGGTCCTTGGCGGCCTGCGCTGCCAGCGCTGTCCGGGAATTGCTATCTCACAACTCCATGTGCCTCATGTCAGCACAGGTGGATGCAGGACTGAGCCCTGGAATCACCCTCAGCAAAATGTTAGTTCAACCCAGAGGCCGCTTCATATTTTTCCTGCCTTTTAAGAGTCAAAAGTGATATATCTTAAAATTGGCTTGAGTATGCCTTCCAGTTCCAAGCTTCCAAGCTTCACAGTGCTGTAAGAAAACAGACAGACCACCCACCCCTCCGTGGAGGGCCATTTTTACCTCCAGAAAAGCCCAGAGTTAAAGATTACCAATGCCAATTCTATCTTCTGGGAGCATCCTGACAAAAGAATCTTGTGTTTTCCTCCAAAGATTAGTAATAATTTTTAGAGATACAGAAAGACTAGGGATGTCCAAAATATAGTATAAAAATAAACATTTCCAAATAAAGATCTCCCATGTAATGTAGCCTTTCCATAAATCACCACATATTAAGGAGAATGAGACCGAACCTAGAAACCAAGCCATCTGGCTCATCCACGTGGATAGATGGACCTTGAAATTTCCCTGTCTCTTGACCTTGATGAATTAGTTATTTTCTAGTTTATTACCCTAGAATGTCTTTCTGTTTAATGTCTCTCTTATTTTTACTGGCTGTCACTGAAAACCAAAAATATAGAAACCTGCCAGAAATATGAAATTCTGTTCTAGTATAAGGAAGTCTTAGTACAAGGGGAAAAATATACCCAGTAAATAAGCCATCCTCCACAGGCAGCACCAAACTCCACTTGCCTTTGGCCAGTGATTCCCATCCTTGTCACCTGCACATAACTGCTCTCATCAAAACAGTTCCAAGATAATTGAACCTCCCATGGGAGGGGACACGGTTCTTTCCAGTGTCACATGCATAGCATGTGAAACAGATTCACGTTTTGCAGGAACGTTTGCCATTGCCTTCCTATCTGTAGAGGATTACTCCATGTGTGTGATCTGTGGGCACATGTGTCCAAAT